CCACAAAAAAAAAAAAAAAAAAAGAGAGAGACATTTGCAACAATTATCTCCATGATCTCCATTTTCCATTCATATGGAGCCGACTCCCCGTGCCAATCATGAACAAACATGTCAGGAGCAAAAAGTATTGGAGAAACCATCTAGCCACAAATTTCCTTTCCGGTCCACTACCATCCACAGAAACTGCATATGCCAAAAGGGAATCCTAAAGAGATCATGACCAGGCGAAATACACAAAGAAAATAGCCATCAACATGGTGTCTCTAACCACCCTCAGTGCCTTCTAGGGATCTGAGGGGCAGGGGAGAACCAGCACAGCTGGGAGGCATCTTTGAGTATTAGCACCAGATTGAAAAGAACATTCTGGAACCAAGGCATTCTGGTGGGGAGGCTCTGGCAGGACTGACATGTAGGACAATGAAGGTTTGATGTCAAGCCATTCTGCCTCAACAACTAAGGACATACGCTTGTGATCACCAGGATACTAAATTTTCTTGTTTCAGAAACAAGATCTTTCTCCACAATGCCAGGATAGCCCCCATTCAGCTGGAAAGTTAAACATGAGATGCTAAGACGGCAGAGATGGACAGGGACAAATACGTGCAAATTCACAGACTCTAAGGATTTGTAGGAGGTTGTGATTATTAGACAGGGAGATGGAAGAAACAGGATGATTCCAGGCTTGGGGCTGGGGAAACCAGGAATATGTTTCACCTGGTCTCTGAGGCTGGGAATCCAAGAGAGGAGCCGCTCCCAGAGGGAAGAACACGATAAGCAGTTTCAGATGCACTGAGTTCGAAGCACCCACGGGACTGCCAATTTTGAGGAATTTTCTACTGATTGATCAACTTTCTCTTATTTCTTCTCTCACCCTGATTTGAATGTTAAATAGTATAATATTTAGTGACTGTTCCCTCCTAAGACTGCCAAAGACAAGGGACCACGTCGTACTCTCTGTCCCCCACAGAACCTCCCAGAGGCTCCTCTATTTCCCACCTGTGCTACACATAGAAACCCAACTTCCATATAAAATGCAAAGAAAAATCTTCGTTAGGCACTTAAAAACATTACAGCTCGTGAAACAAAGAATACAAGGACTGAGTTCAAAAATGAGAGTAATGGGCTTCCCTGGTGGCGCAGTGGTTGGGAGCCCGCCTGCCGATGCAGGGGACACGGGTTCGTGCCCTGATCCGGGAGGATCCCACATGCCACGGAGCGGCTGGGCCCGTGAGCCATGGCCGCTGAGCCTGCGCGTCCGGAGCCTGTGCTCCGCGACGGGAGAGGCCGCAACAGTAAGAGGCCCACGTACCGCGATGAAGAGTAGCCCCCGCTTGCCGCAACTGGAGAAAGCCCTTGCATACAAACGAAGACCCAACACGGCCAAAAATAAATAAATGAAAAAAAAGGAATTCCCTTAAAAATTTTTTTAAAAAACGAAAGTAACATCACAACAATATCTGGTGACTAAATAAAAGTCCTTGAGATTTTCAAAAGTATTAATTTCAGAATTCTATGCTGATACCTGTACGACATACAGCAGCTCAGTCACTCCTTGAAAAGGAGAGAATTTAAAAATAAGATAAAGTTCATTGTGCAGTGTTTTTCCAATGTATTATTTATTACAAGCTCGTTTAGTTTGATAATTTTGCTCAACAAAAATCGTTGTGGGTGTAGCGTGTTGAATTAACAGTGGTTTTTTTTTTTTTTTTTTT